ACCGGGTTTCTTTCTGGCTTTCTCATGTCCAAGCTGCCCAAGATCATTGCAGCCACAGGTATACACCGTCCCGTCCTCCAGCAGGAAAGCTGTGTGTCTGCGGCCACACCCCACATCACTCACTTGCTTCCCGTGAAAGAATTCACATTTTCGTGGCTCAACCACAATCTCTTCATCAATCCCACCCAAGCCCAGTTGTCCATAGGAAGCATTTCCCCAGCACAGCATTGTAGTTCTCCCTTTAGCTGCACGCAAAAGCAGGATCTCAGGCTCTGTGAAGAAGACACTTGGGCTAATATAACCTTCCAGAGTATAGTCACATATCCCCCGTTTCATTTGCAAGGTGTAATCTAGCTGGTATCACCTAGCAAAGCCGAAAGAGGCAAAACAACATCATCGCCACATGAAACAGACGCAAGCCTGCGGTCAGATTAAGTCATGACTTCAGGATCGTACACCTACATATATATATATGTGTGTATATATAGCGAGAGCACTAGTACGTTGCAGTCTAAACTGACCATGTAAACAGATTAGCCTAGTAAGCTACAGTTAACGGTGTTGGGTGAGTTCCGTTAGGGTTGCTAAAATCGTCAAATAACACCACTTCCGTCGCGGGCGGCTGGGTTTACAAATTAAAGCACATGCCAAAACGTGTTTAAATACGAGTATTGCCAATAACTGTATGTACCCCTACGATTTACACTCTCATAAACATAATTAATAAACTTACACATTTCTTTCTGGGTCACAAATGTATGCGTTTATAATATTGTAAGCGGAAGTATAACTCTTGTCCGTAATGTTAGCACACGCTAGCATGCACCTTGACGAATACAGGCGAGGTAGATCATTTCAGACTGATGGCACTTGACCAACTTAATGACAGTACTTAAAATTATCATAGTGCGATTGGAAAATATTTTAAGAAACATATATGTTTAAGCACTCGACACGTGGTACATGGCTGACTTATACAGACAGTCCTGATATAGCAAGCTAACGTTAGTCAGACCCAAAGACTTTATGTCTGTGTTTGGAACATAACGTACTTAAGAGTTCATTCAGAAACCTGAAGTGACTTCACAGCTGAGTATCTGAACTTAAAGCCCCGCTATTCTTTACTGTTCCGCTAAAAACACAAGTTTAACAACTTACAGCCAGGTGTCTCTTATGTTAGAGCCAAGAGCAAATCTTACCAAAGCCACCAGACCCGACAAGTTTATGATCTGCCAGTGCCTTGTTCGTTAGTTAGTCCGACTGTTAAAAACACACATTACAGTACGCTGCTGTCCAAAGACAACTCCCAGGTAAAACCCTACTTAACGCGTTTCTTGGCCGTACAGCAGTTGTTGACAGAGCATCGGAGTGGTTACATTAAAGCAGTCGTCTCAAACTCTGGATGTCCGTTATGTCCTTTTAGAAATAAAAGTGTTTTTATAATAGCAGAGCGGAGAAGAGTACAAGATAGTTAAAATATATACATAAGAGTCCCGAAATGTCCAAAACACGGTCAAGGAGATTTGAATACTTCTCTGAAAGACGCGTAGAGAAGCTCTACACATAAACGCTGTAAGGCTTAATTTGAAGGCAGCTTACAATACCGGAAGTATTAACAGCGTTTTCACGCATTTTCCTTCATGGACGTGAAGAAATGTCGCGAAGCTGCCGAAATGTTCTAGAGCGAGCGCATCCGCGCATGCGTATACCGGCTGCGCTGTACTACCTTTACCTAGGTATGAAAACACGGAGGTTACTCTCCTAGTCCCCGAACTCCATATTCATACACACACACACACACACATACACACACAGACCTCCCCGTTTTCTTTTTCTTGAATGTTTCGCGTTCATACAGAGCACACACGGCATTTATTTGTTATTAATTAGTAAGTAAAAGAAGGAAAGTGAAAGCGCGAAAGACTACTACTGAAGTGCGTAGTATGAACTAGCAAAAGAAAAGTCCACAAATGAATACATTCGAAATAACAACACATATAACGGTATTCAAGATTAAATGTTAATTAATATGTAAGTACATATAAATATATAATACAAGCACATTTTGAATGTGACTATAAGTTGCAGATGTATGTGATTAAATGTGAGGCGTTATAAAAAAAGTGTTATATCTGCATTCTAATCGCAGATATTTTATTTACCTGTAGTTTTGTTCATCTTATGTAATCAGGCTGTAAGTATACTAGAAGAATCTCGAACTTCTACCGGTCTTTTTCCAAAACCATGTTCGCCAACTTGAGCTGGTTCACAACCACCGGGCTCCCCCTGGTGGAGAGCAAACTCACTTACTCCGATTCAACAAACAAACAAATAGACTGTGTCACCTTCATTAAGATAAGATAAAATACGAGAAGAAGAGAAAATGTAACTTTAAATACAAGGTAAACTCAACAAACATATTAAAAAAGTAGGCATTAAGAGACTCAAATATGCATATATTTTAAAATAATGAAAACAGCAATGCAGCTAATGAGGACATCAAATCAATGTAATTCTCTTTTTTATCATCTGGTTTTAAAAGAGCTTTTTGCACCAGTTAAAAATAGATTGGACATTTCCTTGATGTACAGTAAGCTTCTGTAACAGAGATCCACATCTGTTCATTCAAAATCCGGCGAACACAGCTAGGTTTCAGACCAAACTTTTGTTTGACTGAATGGTTTAAAAGGAGATGAAAAGTCAGATAGATTCATATCATTCAAACTCCATCTGCTGGTGCACAATGCCATTTATCAGTCTGTCTGTCTCTTTTTGTGTTAGCTGATTTCTTTTATACTGCAATATACTACACATAAAATATGAAAATGTTTATTTGCATTTGTGTAAAATGTAAATGCAAACAGAACGCAACGATTTGCAAAGCTGTCAAACCCATATTTTATGCTCATCACATGTTTAAACAGAGACATTTTAATATTTCACAAAAAATATTATCTCATTTTAAATTTGATGGCAAAAACATGTCTCAAAAAAGCTGGGATTGGGACAACAAAATGCTGGAACAATTTTACATCATACAGTATCATCAAAAGAATCAGAGAATGTGGAGAAATCTTTGTGTTCATGGGACAATACTGGACAGCCTCTGGCCTTTGGGCCCTGAGGAAACACAGGCATTAAATACAGGCATTATTGTGTCATGGAAATCAGTGCATGGGGGCAGGAACACTTCCAGAAAATACTATCTGTGAACACAGTTCACCATTAATACAGGTTGTATCATACAAAGAAGAAGCCATATGTATGCATCTCTCATTCAAATCTCTTTAAAATGAAACTGAGCTTGTACTGAAAACAAACAATGCTATCTGATCTGCATTTTAAAATCGACTACTGATTGCACGAAACAGGGGACAGGCTGAGTCAAAAACAGGTTTTTGCATACTTTGAAAGTATGATAAACATACAGTAGATATTATTTCAGTGCATTGCCGGTGAAGGAGGAGGAGGCAGTTTAGTTAAACTTTTCCAAGAGTTTCCAATGCGTAAATATATGACAGAGCAGATGACAGGCAGGTTGTCACTCTTTGACATCTGTTGTTTTTAGGTGTCACTGGTGAGATCATCTTAACCTGCGTTAAGACTTACAGCTAATGATAGCTCTTATCACACACAAATCCGCCTATTTTACGCAGTTGTTTGCGTAACCGCACATTTATCTCATGACTGACATCATTCAGGCATAAGATAACCTGTTTGGTGAATATGCAGTCTATCCTGTACGGCTGGTTCTTCTATGGGAGTTTTCCTCTCCTGTCTTACGCATTGTGGTCTGATGTCTCGGAGAAGAAGGAACCTCTTTATTTCTCCTTAGGTTACGAATCAGAGCACAAACAGGGCAGACACAACAGAAGCAAACATGTTGTACTTGATCGGAGTAAGTGCAGACCTATTTATATATTATTTTAAGTCTTTTAGCTGTAAGTAAGTTCATTTTTCAAAGATTGTGTTTTCTAGTGGTGACTGTAACCTGTGTGATACTGACTGCTGTTCGTTTTGCCTTAAGATCATTGCTGGTCTTCTCTTTGTCATATATTGGTTTTCAACGGGACTCAAAGAGGTAAGCAGCTATTTATTTTTCTTTCTTTCTTTCTTTTTTAAATGTAGCTCACATCAAGTAAGAAGCAAACAGAAACATTTATAGAGAGTGCATAGAGGTGGAACAAGGAAGCAAAGACTAACTCTGTGTAATGATTCTTATCATTTTCAGGGAAACAAGTCACAAAAGTCCCAGCTCCCAGAATCCTCTGCAAACAACAAGTTGGTAAGTGGCAATCAAAAGTTAAATGCTGAGCTTACTGAGAATAGTTTGGATAAAATATCTGACTTCAATTTCTTCAACAGAATGATCTGAGCGACGATGACTTGCATTTATTGGCAAAGATCCTTTCGGTTGGATTGGTGGATGCGGATCCAAACTACCTCCATCACCTAAAAGGCTACAGGGACTTGCGTGGTCCCTGATCTCCTTTGGAAAAAAGAAAGAAAAAGAAACAAGGAGCTCATCTGGAGCGACGGATGGATACAAAAACAGACTTTCATGGAGATCTTGAAGGATTTGTGATGTCATCAAATCAATGCTTATTTGGATTACAAGTTATTCTCACGTCACCCTGCAGATTTTTCATGATCACAGGATAAAACATGCAGTATGTTCAGTTTAAATGTTGCACTGAATATCTCAGAGGTGCACACAACTGCGTTATGTTAAATATGGATCCTGATTGCTTTAATGTTACCTTTGTAACCCACGGCTGTACTGCTTGTTGCAAGTAATCTGTCTCAATAGTGCTATTTAATATTTAGCTAAATGCTAAATTGGTGCTACAAGGAGTGCAAGTGGAGAAGAATACAGTCTTTATCGCAATCATTACCCAGTCATCAAATCAGAACAATGTGTAACGCATTAGGCAAGGGTGTGTTTTGTCCTGTGGTTTAAACTGTTTTTAGTAAGAGAAAGAATGGATTGTTTGCATAGCTTCACTTCAAAAAGAACCATGTGGCCATGTGGGAGAAAGGTTCAATTAATTTGTTTCTCTTGTCTTTTTGTTCATGTCCTTTTCTGGAGAGAGGAGACAAAAGAGAGAGTTAAGCAAAGAGACAGATTAGATTCTGTTGTTGTTATTTTTTTAAACCTTTCTTTTTTGGTATGATATGGCAAACGTAACTCCTCTTACCCCAGACCCGTCTGCTGAACTCGTTCCCGAGCAGGTAGAGCAAGATCACCACAGACATGTTAAAAAAGAAGAAGCCCACCAGACCAGCAGCACTGAAGCGCCCAAGAAGAGGATACACCCAAATCCCGACTGACATGTACACCCATATAATCCTGCAGAACATGTTCAGAATATAAAATAAAAAAAGGAAGGAAAAAAAAGGTTTGGCTCATACAAACATTCACCCAGTGTGTTCACGCAGTTATTGTAACAGCAAAACAGCAGCAAAACTAAACATCTCATATGCAATGAACAGCATGCTTATGGTTTGTTCTGTACTCATGAGGAGTTATTGGCTGCATTACAACATGTGAGCCCGAGCTGTGGAGGTTGAAAAGAAGCTTTTACCCGCAAGCTGTATACACACTGGAGCAGCAAAAATAGGTGCATTTAGACAGTGTTGTGCTTTCAGCCACATGAAGGTGAACTTCAATCAGTGTCAAATGAAAGATAAAAACTGAAGAAATGCTTTTTTTAAAGTGCTTGATTATGCTGTTAATGCTGAGTCAGCACTTACCAAGATAAGTAAGCCAAGCCCACGATTCCTAATGCCGTCAGTGCATGTTTAGTCTGTGGGTAGACGTGAGGCTGCATCAGCACCTCTCCAAGTAAGATGGGAAGGACAAATGTGTGCTAAAGAAAAAGCCAACAGCAACATGAGAAGTCCCGGCAAGCCAACCAAGAATTGCTTAAAAATGTTTTAAAAATACAAACGATGCTGAGTAATTATTTATTATGCCGAAGAACATAAGTCAACAGACCATAGCGTGGTTCATCCACGGAGGGAAGAAGGTGTCGATGGTAGCTGGGTAGACTAATTCTCTATCATATGCAAAGATTGCCCAGAAAAGTAGAACAACAAACTAAAGAAAAGGCAGCAAAGGCAGAGTTAATGTGAAGCATAGTGTTTTGCTTTGGGGGTTTTTTTGCACTTGAAAGAATGTAGGATTTGCAAATGTGGGGTTCTCACCGTGCCCACTGGAAAGGCAAAGACAGAGAAGAGAAGGTCTTTAAACTTGCTCAGAGTACTCTCAGCCTTTTTCTCAGGTTGAAGATCATTCACTGCCGCCAGTCCAAAGAACGTCATTTGCAATAACTGAAACATTACAAGCAACATTGTTGTTTTTTCCCACTGTCCTTGTTGGGATCGCAGGGTCATTAATCCTTCACAACAATTACCCATAAACGATCAAGGTACTCACCAAATTCAAAAAAGTGAGGTACTTCCAAGGTCCTCCATAAACAAAGATTCCTGGTGGCAAATCCTCTCCATCCATATCAATTAGATTCTTAATAATAAACGCATACCAGCTGAATGCTGCAATGTGATACACTCTCCTAACAGTCATTCTCAGTGTAAACTTATATTCTTCTGTAATAAATAGTGAAAATAAATTAAAATGCAAGCAAAAAAAGCAACAACAAAACAAAACAAAAAGACTAAACTTCAAAGTTTTCCCTTCAGATGTGAGGCACTTGAAGCAGTGAAGGTTCTTTAAAGATTAGTGTAATTCAGCGCCGGCTTATCAAGACATTTGCAGGCAGCAGAGACAAAGAAACACAAGAGAACCACTGTTCAGTTTTTTACGAAACATATGGCGACTTCTTTCATAACCGCTTGTGGCTGGGAGGCAAATTTATGCACAGTGAGAGTGTAATCTGTTATATAGTGTTTTGCAAGAGAAATCCCAACGAGTTAGGAAGGTTACGTGAGTTCAGATACAGTACTGTGCAAAGGTTTTAGGCAGGTGAGGAAAAAATGCTGTAAACAAAGAATGCTATTTATTTTCCACCAATCAACAAAATGTAGTGAATGAACAAAAAAGAAATCTAAATCAAGTCAATATTTGGTGTGACCACCCTTTGCCTCAGAGCAGCATCCATTCTTCTAGGTACACTTGCACACAGATTTTGAAGGAACTCGGCTGGTAGGGTGCTCCAAACATCACAGATCTTCTGTGGATGTAGGCTTCCTCACATCCTTCTGTCTCTTCATGCAATACCAGACACACTTGATGATGTTGAGATCAGAGCTCTGTGGGAGCCATGCCGTCACTCCAGTACTTCTTGTTCTTCATGCTGAAAATAATTTTTAATGACTGGCTGTATGTTTGGGGTCGTTTTCCTACTACAGAAAACATTTGGGACCAATAAACAATCATTTATATTTCTGAAAGCATTCTTTGTTTACAGCATTTCTTCACACCTGCCTAAAACTTGCAAAGTTCAGATAGGTAAATATCTTCTGACAAAGACTGGATCACAGAAGAGTTACTTCTTTATTATTGCTGGAAATCTAAATTCAGGAGCTCGACACATCTCTCGCGAGCTTATTAAAATAATAGTAAATGTGACGACAAAATAACCCGATAAATTCATAAGAAAGAAAATTTCAAAGAGCAAAAGTTTCACGTTAGAGAATAACAGGCAAAAATAAAAATAAAATAAAGTTTTCTCCTAAACTTGTTCTCCCATTACTTTTTCCTGTGATCCTTAAAGTTTTCATAGATGTCATAAATGGCCTGAAGATGGTGCTGGTGTAAAGGCTGTGATCTGATTGTACTGCGCCAAAACCAATATGCAGTATGTTGCAATCACTGTGTTAAAGCTACTAAATCTGTGTAGGTTTAGAAGAGAAATCTGTTATATAAAATATAATGTATGTGTTCTTTTTGGATATTTTAAATCAAATGGAGTTTTCAAGTTACACACGAACATGTTACATATGAAACATTATATACGTAAATATTTAAAAACCTCTTGCAATTAAGGATTTAAATAATTTATTATTTAATTCTGGTTTTATTTTTATTTTAGATGGCATGTTTAATTTTGTGGAAATAGTGTCATAGTACCTAAAATTTACTTTTAAAGCAGTACCTGAGTTTCTTTCTGTGCTATATCAAAGATGAATTTAATGAACTGCACCACAGACATGGGAGAAAAACAACAACAAAAACAAACAAGCCTCGATATATTTAAGAAGTTTTATTTACAAACAGCAAAAGGTGATGAAGACAGGTATGATACTGTAAATCTGTGAGAACTCACTGTCACTGCTCAGCTCTACATACTCAAACATACATATGTAAACTCTTCACAGCTTCAAGATCAGTTTCAACAGACACGTAGAGCAAGTACTGATTTAAAAACTGCAGGGTAGAGAAAAGTTTAAAAGACAAATAAAAGGTTGGTTTCAGCAGATTATAAAATGCAACCCCATACTGTCGGATAGTTTTGGCTTTCCACGGGCAAAGTAAACACTTAAAAAAGCTTCATATGCTGGATTTTGGGGTTTGTTCCCCAAAATGTGTAAATGAAAAAGCGTTGAATGGTGTATATAAAAAAGACCTTGAAGTAAACCTGATGCACCTTTGAATATTCATCATTAACCTTAATGACATCTGCTTTCAACAGCTGAAAACAAAAACGACACAGTGTTACACGTCGACGTCTGAGTCCATCGTGTGCATTTCCTTGTTTTCGGTTGCATGTTTAGGATGAAAAACTTTACAGTTTATTTATGCCAGCATGATCCACAGATCCACTTACTTCCAAATATATGTAATTATCATCTTTTTAAGATGAAGGTGAACCATTATAATACAAACTATAGTATATTACAGCTTTACAAAATCTGACCACTGCAGATTATCAGTTCTCTAACATCTCGTCATAAAACTAGCTGACGCTGCTGTCAGTGTTGTAAAAGATTACGGCAAGAAGGCCTCTTCACAGAAACTTGGTTTGACACATTGCACGTTACCCTGCAGTCAGTAAAAACATGTTCGATCCTGCACTCATGCTCTCAGTTCATACTGGGAGCAACTTGATGATTCAGCCACAGTAAGAAGCTCGTTGTTGAACACGTCGCACGTAATTGGGACAACGGCTTTGCAATAACTTGCATATTGTCTAAATTCACGCTTCAGTACACGTTCCCTGACTCTTCTGTGCATGATAAGCCTTGTTTTCCATACAACCCAGAAGAGAAATCCCATTTCCAACAAATATCTTTGCCAGCTTTTTATTTATTTAATTTCACTTCCTTCTACACATCCTGTATCCACCTTTTAATATCTCATCTTTCTTTGGATCCCATTTAAGTTGTCATCTGTGATAGTAGAGACAAAAAAAAAAAATAGATTCACCACAAGGGCAATTAAATATATATTAATGCTTCTAATAGCAAACAATATTGGTAATACATTCATACCTCAAATCGACTGTAAACCTTCCTCTCCTTTCTCATATTCTGGATCCTCTCCAGCAGCTTTTCTCGCTCCTGAGGTGATTTTTGCCCTTTGTTTAGTTTATCAAGTCCTCGTTCTTTCTCCCTTTTAGCATTTTTGTCAGCTTTGTCTTCTTTCTCGTCATCGGTAACGGGAGACTCTTTGGTAGCCTCATTCCTGCTTTGGCTATTAGCGGAAATCTGCTCCAGGAGCAGCTTGGTATCGTCTCTGAGGTTGCTGCTCGAGAGCACGTTGGCTGTGGATGAGTGGTAGCGAGACTGGCTCGATTTGGGCTGCTTGGATGTGATCTCTGCTGATTCAGAAAAGTTACTTTGCTGTATTTGGTCATTCGTTTTCTCACTGCCGACAGACTCTTTGGCACTGCTTTCCTTTGTACCCTGGGTATGATCTGAGTTTCTCCCGCCTGTGTCCAGTTGCTCAGGCTCTGTTTTACTATTTTCAGCAGGCACAGGTGGCTCTGAGGTAGGCTCATTTGTGCTAGAGGGAGTTTTGGGGGCTTTATCCGATTCTGATGGAGTCTGGTTGGAAAGGGAATTTGTATCAGCGAGAGTGTGCAATGCAGACATGTTGGTTTCTGCTTTTTTAGCTTCAGGGGGCAAAACGAATTCAACTGACTCAGACAAAGGAGAGGAACGTGATCCTGTTTCAGCAGGGGTTGGTGCCTCAGCTCCTGTAAAGTTGAGGTCAGAGGGAGGGGTTGCTTGTATCTGTGCGTCTTGAGGAGCTGCAGTTGTTTCTGACTGCGAAGCATTAAGAGTAGAGTCTGTAATGACAGTGGAGCTTGCTTCTGATGGCAAATGCTTGGCTGGAGTGTCCGTGGGTGTGGGTACAGTAATAGTGGGCTCTTTTAGCTCAGGTACACATGGCTCAGGTGGAGAAGGGCTACTAGGTATGATATCACCTTTGACATGTGAAGATTCAGGAACCACAGAATCCTCTGCAACAGCCTTTTGAACTGAGCAAATTTCTGATTCAGAAACTTCTTTTTCTGTCTCAGTAACACCTTCCTCTGATTCAGAAACAGTCTTTGCAGTCTCAGAAATACCCTTTTCTGATTCTGGTTTTCCAGAAATTGCCTTTTCTGTTTCAGATACATCTATCTCTGATTCAAAAACAGCTCCCTCTGACTTTTCTCGTTCAGAAACTATGTTTTCTACTTGAGAAAGGCTCTTTTCTGACTCAGTAACACCTTCCTCTGATTCAGAAACAGTCTTTTCAGATTCAGAAATATCCTTTTCTGATTCGGGTTTTTCAGAAATGGCCTTTTCTGTTTCAGATACACCTATCTCTGATTCAGAAACATCTCTCTCTGACTTTTCTGGTTCAGAAACAATGTTTTCTGACCCAGAAACACGTCTTTCTACTTGAGAAAGGCGTGTTTGTGGTTCACAAATATCGTTTTCTGATTTTGATGTTTCAGAAATAGATTTTTGTGATTCAGAAACACCTTTCTCTGATTCTAAAGTACCCCTTTCTGGGTCTGATGTCTCAGAAATGGCCTTTTCTGTTTCAAAAACAGCTGTCTCTGATTCAGACGTGCCTATTTCCGATTCAGAGATATGTTTTTCTGGTTCAGAAATGCTCTTTTCAGAGTCAAAAATATCTTTTACTGATTCTTGTTTTTTAGAAATGGCATTTTCTGTTTCAGATAGAGCTCCCTCAGATTTTTCTGATTCAGAAACACACTTTTCTCCTTGAGAAAGGTTCTTTTCTGATTCAGAGATATCGTTTTCTGATTTTGATGTTTCAATAAGGTCTTTTTCTGATTCAGAAACACTTTTCTCTGATTCCAAAGTACCCTTTCCTGGGTCTGATGTCGCAGAAATCGCCTTTTCTGTTTCAGAAATAGCTGTTTCAAACACGACTTTCTCTAATTCAGATACACGTTTGTCTAATTCAGGCATGCCTATTTCTGTTTCAGAGGCATCTTTTTCTGGTTCAGAAACCTGTATTTCTGATTCAGTCATGCTCTTCTCAGCTACAGAAGGATCTTTTTCGCTTTTACAATTGGCTTTCTCTGATTCAGAAATATCTTTTTCTGACCTTTCTGTGGAAGTTGTAGCACCAGAAACGCTTGTGGTGGACTGTAACGAGGATGAGCTTGACTCAGCACCACTAACAAACACCTCAGGAGAAACACCAGATTCCATATGTACAGAGTCAGTTGCTGAAGGAGTC